ACGTTGGTTTTATGGTATCAAATTTGTAACATTATCAAATGATGCAGTATTTAGTTAATAATACTCAAGCCCTTTATAGATTTATGCTACAAATCACTCTATAGATTACCATTACCCGAGTTAGTTTGTTTGTTTGCGTATAGCAATCCTTGTACACAAATCACTTGGAGCTGGATAGTCGTCACAAATAAGCGTCGACCCCAATCTGATTAAAATAAGATCCTGTTTGGCTTAATTTTTTTTTAATTTTGTTTTTATATAATTACTATAATTATTATTTATTTTAATTATTTACTATAATTATTATTATTTATTTTAATTATTTTTTAACGTTGCAATTGTTTTGCTGCAAAATTATTATTTTTATTATTATAATTATTAAAATTATTATTATTGTTCTAACAAAACCATTCTTGCAGCAAAATAATTGTAACGTCAAAAATAATTAAAATAAATAATAATTATAGTAAATAATTAAAATAAATAATAATTATAGTAATTATATAAAAAAAAAAAAAAATTAAGCCAACCAGGATCTTATTCAATCAGATTGCGTCGACCCATAAGACTTTGCGTGTTTTTTTTTGTGTACTAGTATGTTGTTATCGTTTAGGACGCAGTTTCCGCGCCTGTGCAGGTAACGACCCTTCTACTTTAACAAGTTAGATATGTATATTTGTACAAGAGATGCCAACAGAATCAATTCTAGATCTGCGCGGCAAATGATTTTACCAATAGCTGGTTCCGACGTACGGAATAGTGTAAAGCAAGACGTCAGACAATGTCGAGTCCTAATATTTTGAAAGACAAATATCTAAAAAGTGTATAAGAAAAAATATTAACTGCTTTTTTATTGTTTCTGATTATTGTGTATTGGATGAGTAATATTTTGTGTTGTTGTAGTTACTTTTTTTTTGAGGACCACAAGAAAGATAAAGGAATACTTATTTCTTTGATTTATAAATGGTTTATTTAGTTAATATAATTTCACCACCAGTCCAATTTATGGAATACATCTGTAAATTTACTGTCAGTGTATTTATTTTAATGTCAATGATGTACATTTTATTTTCTGTAACTAAATACTGGAAAAATTGAAGTTATTAATATTTTGTCATTTGGGTATTATAGCTAAATTTTGTGAAATGTATATTATTCTCCACACATAGAGCGCCCATCCCTCCACCCAACATCCCATGCGAGAACGTGTATACTGTCTATTTATGGAGATTAATGGTGAAAAGTATCAGCACTTATTTTGACAAATAAATCGATTTGTGAATGGTTGTATTTGGTAGAAAGGACATACAGCCATTCGGAACTGGACCAAAAAGACGTTGGTGGCGCTTTTTGGTGGGGATGAGGTCTGGTTCTCTGGTACATGGAGTCTAATGTGATGATGTGAGTAAAAGTAAGAGCCTTCAAAATGCGCGACGTTCATTCATGTGTTGTTTACATGCGTACGACTACGATCCCCTCGTATATACAAACAATTTTAAAACGCTGAGGGCGCAACGAATGGACAGTGTATGATATTTCAACGTGGGAAGCACTAACCTCGTCCACTGAGACGCAAACTTGATATTCTGCTGGAGCGACATCATACATAATCAATCTGATTTTCAATATTGTGAATTCCTTTTCATCGACGCCTCGAACCACTGCATCCGACAGTTTAGGATCACCATCGGCCTTGTTCGACATCACACGCTCGTCGGAAATCGGTGAAAGGTTTCTAGTCTTAGTTGTTTTCATAGCTAACATGGGACCATATCCATCCATGCCCCATTTCCAGTAATCCTAGGTACGGAAACAAGAGAAACAGCATAAATCTACATGATAATGCGAGACAAGTAGTTAAACATCGACGAAAACAAAGCGTGTAAAACACATCGCTTGTTCATTGCATGACGACTGGGGCGCGTTTGGTTGTTACATTCACATCGTTATTGTGCCAAATTTCCATACTGAGGGCGCACTATTTGAAAAGATTTGAAGCATGGCGTTTAGCTAGAATCATGATATTAAGCAAGTTACTCATAGTTTCAGTTTTCTCTTGAATGTCCGTTTGCTGGTTATGTCAAAGCACAGGGACTGTGGTCAAAGCGTCGCAGTCGTCACGAAACACGCGTGTCTTTCACGAATCGCACATGTGGCATGGAACCTGCCTATCAAACACGATGCACGATGAGTTTTTTATTATACCGATTTTAACGATATCGATATCAAAGTATAAATTTGCCAATCCTACTGGGTATAAGTTCGTTCAGGTCAGATCTCTGACATTAGGTAGTACCACAAATTCGCAACGCATTATGGGTATGCATATATGCACGCTGTCTCGTATAAAATAGTTTACATAGTCCTAGAGTACAAAGTGTATTCACGAACCTTGGTGGCGCTGTTGTGTTCTATCTCTCCATCTCGATCACTGTCTACATCTAACGATATATATATCGCACGGAGATTCAACACAGTTGGGATGTAATGATAGTGTGGATTCAGTACGTCACTGCCGCCATGATCGATGAAGTCAAAATCAATTACTACCTGGAATAAATAAACACCGAATTAAACCAATGTGTATACTTTTCGAATTGATCAATGAGTGGCAGGTGTACGTACGTACTAGTATACAGTGACTAATTGCTAATTTCGTCGTACGACGTTTTTGACTTCAAGAGAATGCGCACTGCGACACACACGACAATATCGCTATAATTGTCGACAATATCACGCACTATGCATTTTATGTTACGAGAAGTGACATAAACTCACTCCTGTAAAGTTGTATCAACTAATCACTGTACTCACTAAGCCCGTAACAGTAAAGCAATGGCAAACACTGTTGAAATTATACCAGTATGTTGTCATCTTCAAGTTGTCATCGATGTGTTATTTCATACTCACACGTGACCTCGAATTCTCAGGTCAAGATTACACTTGTATAGATTTTTAATTTCTTTGCTAATCTTTAAAAAAAAATTGTCTTATACTGGGCGCGGATAGCTACGTAACTGTAGCGGAAAAGCGTCACCCACGTAGGTGTTACGTCACGCCAGAGAAAACCAAGTTTTTGCTATGGAGTGAGAATACCGCCAAAATTAGCTTGGTGTCATTATTTGAACATTCTTTAGTTGTTTGGTCTTTATTTGGAAACTTGTTTGGTTATTATTTGGTCATTATTCGGTTATTTAGTCTTTATTTAAACATTATTTTGTGCTTATTCCATTAGTGTGTTATTACTGCAGCATCGTATTGCTTTTGTTTCATTATTCCAACTTTATTTCTTAATTATTTCATTATTGTGTAATTGTTACAATATTATTTTGTCATTGTTTCATTCTATTACAATTGTGTCGTTATTTAGACATTATCTTGACATTCAATTGTCATAAGATTCGGTTATTTTCACGTCCAAATGTCTTGGCATTCGGTTCGCTTGACTTGCGATTACCTCAACATTCGGTTCGCTTGACTTGCGATTACCTCAACATTCGATTACCTGACCTACATTAGCTGACCCCGCTATACATGTAATATTCAATCCATTGTCCCGGGCCGCCTCCGATAAACGTGAGCGGGAATTTCTGAATGATGGCCGTTTCATCAACATCCAGGGAACTGACTGAGGTCGTCAGAACCTGTCGTGACGGAATATCAAATGCCGCAAAACTTGTTGTTGACACGACGCGCTCCTAGCGAAATTCGCGAGAGATGATCCGACTTGATCATTATATGATGATCAGAATGTGCTAAGAACCGTTCACAAGACTCGTTACCATGTCGTGAACTCGCGAAATTTGAAAGAGCAACTAATATTCTTCAAGCTGGTATTTTTTATAGATTTTATTTTTCATTCTTTTCGCCTATTTTTCCAGTTTAAAAATGTGAGCTGACTGGAGCCTTTATCCTCTTGTCTATTTCTAATACACTAAGATACCAGCCGATAACGCCCCCTCCC